CAAACAAGCCTATTGATAGGCAGCTGACTTCTGACTTCAAACTACTATGGCCCAACTATTTGTCATAATCGAACCCTTTCACAGTACTCATCTTACCTTTTTAATGCTATTGTGGCTGTCCGTCTACCTTTTACATCTGTGAATCACTAATTTGTTTCCCCTCTCGACTTTTTGTCACTTTGGTATTCCTTCTCCCCTCTGTGAAGCCCCGAGGTCAGCTCCAGGGCTGATGATAACTACCGAAACGCCTGCCATTTGATAAAAATAAATAAATACATCTGAAAGAGTATATATTAATATTTATTTATTTCAAATGGCAGGCATTTTGATAGTTATCATTAGCCCTTCAGTTGACTTTGGGCTTCACAGAAGGGAGGAACATTAAAGTGAGGAAAATTCGACAGGGGGAAAGAAGAGCGATTCACAGATGTAACATACAGACAGACAGACACAAAGGCAGATAAAAGGCTAGATGAGTACTGTGGAAGGGGTGGAATATGACATACAGTGGGGTTATGGAAGTTTGAAGTCAGAGGTCAACTGCCAGTTTATAGACTTATTTGCCGTATGAGTATACGTTGCCCAGGGTGCACCACGTGGAGGTAAGTCTATCGCACACCCCGTATATATTAATATGCACTACCATATCCTGATACTATGGCGATTGATCGCTATATTACGTAGTTTAATTGCTTATGACAACCAGTCAAGGCTGGAGAACTTGATACAGAGGTTCAAGCTGGTAGAGAGTGACGAGGTAAGCTGAAAATGACGCAGTTGGCCATTTATTTTAGTGGAAATGGATCTATCTTAAAATAAAACTTTGGCATTTTCAGTGCAAATTTTGCAAACAGTGCAATCACAATATGTGGTAAAGTGTGTTCCTGCATAAAAACTGAGGAAAGCCTTCTGGTAAATAAATTAAAGGCAACGAACTCTGACAAATTGTAACTAAAAATCATTATATAGTTATGTATACATATATTTACCAAAGGCTAATGCACAATTCTCAAAACTTAGAGGAAATATTAACAATTTGTTCCAATTGTATTGTTATGATATGCTTAATAAGCAAATTTAACAACATTTAGGAAGAATATTTTGGATACACAATGCAATATCAAGTTACAACCAACCTCCAAATTATTCTCATTTGCATTCAAGATCGTGTTTATTCTATTGATAAATTGTTAATTTTAAAATGCTTGCGTCGTAAATAGCATAGAATGAAATGTTTTTGGTACTATGGATGTTGGCCTAATTTGTATATTGTTTATGTCGCCTTAGTCGCTAATGCACAATTTGACTTAATTGCATTAAATTTCCGAAGTATGGTTGATCCTTCTTCTGACGGCCAGGAGAGACCGTTAGAAGTTTCGGTAACCGTAGCTGATAAACAAGCTTTTGAAAACTACATTAAAAATATTGTTATCGCTCTTGATGGCATTCAAAATGATAAAGTGCTTGATAATGCGCTAGCTCACCCGAATGCTCAAGAATCAATTAATAAGTTCCTAAGCGATGGCCAGTGCAGTGCACTTCTTGTGCAAAAATCCTCAAATAAGGGTAAATCTATTCCCATTGATTGATTTCGTAGATGAGGACGATGAAGGTGATAACTCGGATTCTGCTATGTCATACACATTTTCTACTGATGTTCGATATACCAATCCGAAAATGCAAAGGTAACTGGTTTTTTTCTGTAACTCAATGTCTTTAGTTTGGTGTTCATCAAGCAAAACCCAGTTGTGGAAGCCGGAAAATCACTTGGTTCTCAGTTGAGAATGACTACGTTATCTGACGGATCGCCGTTTGAGACTCTTCATTCTATGATTAGCAATGTTGTTGGTCCCTATTATAAGTCCTACATCAAGGCGTCTGGAAAAGCTGAACGGTAAATTTTTTCATCTCAATTACTGATATTCTGCAGTGACGGTGATAAAGTCGCTCCTAGTGTTGAAAAGAACATTGCAGAACTTGAAATTGGTCTCCTCCACCTACAGCAAAACATTGACATTCCTGAAATAACGCTTAATATTAATTCCACAGTTCTTCAGGTGATTAGAAAGTGTGCCGATGAAGGAAGAAGGGCTAAAGTATCTGACTTTGATTCCCTAATCCAGGATTCGGTTTTCTTGAATGCGCTTCAGTCTGGCGTTAATAGATGGATTAGTGATATCCGGAAGGTTAGCTTTCACAAATCAATTTATCCCTTATCCTGAAGATGTTTTGAGCCTTTTACTCTTTTCCGATCGAATAGGTGACGGATTTGGACCGGGATCCCTCAACTGGCACAGCTCTACAAGAGGTGACATTCTGGTTGAATTTAGAAAGAGCCCTGTCACGAATTCAGGAAAAGCGTTCCTCACTAGAAGTCACCCTTACCCTTGAAATCCTGCGCACGGCAAAGCGGTTCTTAGCCACTGTCAGCTTTGATGCCGATACGGGCCTGACTCGAGCTCTTGACATGGTCAATGATTACAATCCACTCATGAAAGATTTTCCCCTTAATGATCTGCTCTCGGCCACTGATTTGGCCAAGATCAAAACCGCCCTTCAAAACATCTTTGCTCATTTACGAAAGATTCGAAACACCAAGTATCCCCTCCCACGCTGTCTTAAGTTAATTGAAGCCATCTCTCGTGATCTCACCTCCCAATTACTAAAAGTTCTCGGTACGCGTCGACTCATGCATATGCCTTTTGAAGAATTTGAGCGCATAATGACTGCTTGTTTTGATGTCTTTGGTGTTTGGGATGATGAATATGAGAAGATTCAAAGTTTGCTAAGAGAAATTGGCAAAAAAAAGCGAGAAGAACCTATTCGGATGGTTTGGAGAACCAATCTAGCCCATCGCCAGCTACAGGCGCGACTTGATAATCTCCGAAAGTATGTCTGTTAGTTTTAGGAACTCGTTGCTTTTTCACTATTGTTTAACTTTTGTATTTCCTTCTAGGTTGTGGCATCAACACGAACAACTCCGACTGGTCATTGTTCGTGTTCGACCAACTACACGCACTTCAACAACTCAGTCTGAACCGAAAGCAAAGATTGAAGATGCCGATTCGAAAACTCTAACTGATGAACCATTGTTAGATGCTGCAGATGCTAATGCTATAGATGAAGTGAATAAAGCTTTTGATTTGGTGAGAGAAGTTGACTGCCTTGATCTTTCGAAAGAAGGCACAGATGTTTGGGACACTACAATCAAACTGTAAGTTGTTCCATGTCTGTTTCAGATTCTAGTCAATATCCCTATCTTAACTCTGGCTTTCATTTTAGTTATGAGGAGCGCATTGATGGCGTAGAAACCCGAATCGCGGCCAGATTGAGAGATCTCCTAGGAACCGCCAAGAGTGCCAATGAGATGTTCCGTTATTTCTCTCGTTTCAACGCTCTCTTTGTTCGTCCGCACATTCGGGGAGCTATTCGAGAATATCAGACACAATTGATCAATCGTGTGAGAGAGGACATTGAAGCTTTGCACGAAAAATTTAAGAACCAGTACCGTTTCTCTCGGGCCTATCGCCTTTGCAAATTAAGAGATATCCCTCCTGTTGCCGGGTCGATTATCTGGGCTAGACAAATTGAAGAGAGACTCAATACATATCTTCGGCGAGTTGAGGATGTGTTGGGTATGCCAGATTGAATTTGTTCGCTATAACCTTACTTATTTGCTAACTAACTTATCAATTGGCTTTTTCATTTAAGGCAAAGGCTGGGAGCATCACAGGGAAGGCCAAGATCTCAAGTCAAATGGAGAGGATTTCAAATTAAAACTCAACACTAACGCCATCTTTGAAGACTGGTGCCGCAAAGTTCAACAGACTCAATTCAATGCCACACGTCACATTTTCTGTGTTGAGCCTGTGCGAGTGAAAATTCCCAACAAGGATGGCTCGACACAGACTACCATTATGATGAAACTCACTGTAACCTTCATGCTCGATGTAATCACGCTCTCGAAGGAGGTAAGTGACTTATCGCTATTTCGCACACACGTAAACTAGTGACTACTCATCTCTAGTGCTTAAGTCTTGCTAATGTGCAAACTGTTAATTACCTGGATCGAAGGCGATACTACCTTAAATGCAAATGGGATTTTCTTCTATATTTCTACTTCATTATGCATTCAAATACGTCTACCGCTTTAGCTGGAAGAATAGAAAGGGTTACATGGAAAATTAAATGCTTTTTTTGTTTCTTAGGTGCGATGTATGAAGGCAATGGGCTTTCGGGTTCCCCTCTCGATTGTAAATCGAGCACATCAGACGAATATTCTTTACCCTTCGGCTACTTCCCTCAATCAGAGTGTTCAAATTTATGAGGCAACTTGCGCCAAGATTGATGCTAATAATGCTCAAAATCTGGCCATTCTATGCGCTGGGTTGCGTCGTGATGCTCAGAGTTTGATCTCTGAGGGTATTCCTCTTAATTGGGATTCCTATCGACTTTCTGGTTTTGTACAAAAGTTTGCCGAGGCAATTATTCAGTTCCAAGAGAAGGTTGAGGACCTGCTCCAAGTTACCCGTGAGATTGATATCCAGCTGAAGGCTCTTGTCACTTGTCCCTACACGAAGGAATCTTTTGAAGAAATTGTCGGTAAGTAGCATGATTTTTTAAGCCTAACATAAGTTGGACTCCAACTCTCTTCTCTCTGAAATCCTTTTAGGCAAAATTCAGAAGCTAGTGGATGATTTGAACTTGCACAAGTACTCCAACTTGGCTGAATGGGTAGCCAAATTAGACGTGGAAGTCGAGAATCGATTAATCACGCGTTTGGAGGCAGGAATTCGCGAATGGACACGGGTCCTGCACTCTGATGAAAATCAGGCTGTAAGTACACATACAAGGATTGCCTGAAGACTTGTTTGATTGCGTTTTAGCGGTTCGCCAGCGGGATTGAACGCGTTTGCATCAACCGTTCTGGCTTTTACGCTCTAGTTCATTTTTTATAGCAAGTAGCAACGGCCCCTATATTTATGGGTATGAGTGTGATGCTGAAGAGTAATACAAAATTACAATTTTCACATGCATTGTAGAGAACTTACTCATCTGCTTGTGTAATAGGCAGTATTGTTTAACTACACCCCTTATTGATCATTCTGGGGGTCTTACTTTTTGAAATCTCTCACGAAAATACGGTGTTGCTTTCAGTAATACGTGTTAATGTTATGACTGGTAAAAATATTTTACTTTCTAGCTCGTGCTTTGAGAGTAAACTGTTGTATATAAACATCTTATAACAATTCGTGGTCGTTATCATTCAATTCAAAATAATATAGACAAATTACTTCTTAATTTTACTAAATTTAAGTTATTCCGGTAGATTTGAGTCAGAAATCAAAGATAAATGGGATCATGCTCCACAATGAGGAAAGTTTATTCACTTCTACCCACACTTCCCTTATTTTTGGAATATATTAATTTGTTGTTCATTTGATTGCGCTTAATTGAGTTCACATCTCATCTTAAATCAATCTCAAAACGAAAAAGTAGGTGATTGTGTGTGGTTTTGCTGTAGAATCAGTAAAGTTGCTCGGGCTTCTAGGGGAAAAAAGGTGAATCTTGCAACAGGAAATTCCCCCCATCGCTCGTATAATTTTCACCTCCATCTAATCATCTCATATCTTCATATTATGATATCTCTGTTTAAATTGTTCACAAGTTTCGTATCTTGAAAATACCAGAAATAATTTATGTCATTTTTTACAATTAAAAGGGTTTTCATGTAAATTTAATTTGTTGATTTTCTGCTAGATGATCAAAATTATTATTATTTTTTAGAAGAGCCGTCTATTAATCGCGACTATATTTGAATAAATCAATATACTAAGGCGTTTTCAGTGGCTTTATTTAGTTTAAGTCAATTAAGTCAAATTGTTTTAAGCAAGATCCAAAGGGCTGCTGCTAATTTGGGCTCTGAACGGAAATACGTAGTGAAAAATGAGTAGCCTGCAACTATGTTACAATCAGGGAGGGGGGGGGGATAAAATGTGCTTATCTAAGAGTCATTAATCATGATCCCGTAATTCATTGAGAGCAATGTTAAAATCCTCTCTGCCTTCTAAAATGCAAGCAGCCCCATCGGTCTGTCTTCATTGCTTTAATTTATTCGATGCTTAGCCTCTTTTTTGGGCATTGCATTTACTAACCCAATTCACCCATTTGAAAATACTGGGTTGTCCGAGGACACATATTACTTAAGTTACATTTTCGCAATGTCGTCTAGTTCCATTGTATAATTTATTTATTTATATCAAATGGCAGGCATTTTGATAGTTATCATTAGCCCTTTAGTTGACTTCAGGCTTCACAGAGGGGAAGTAACATCAAAGTGAAAAAGAGTCAAGAGGGAGGGAGGAACAGAAGAGTGTTTCAGAGATGTAAGAGACAGACACCAAGGTAGAAAAAAGGTGAGGTGAGTA